GAATGTCAGTTTTATCTGGCAACCCTACTCCTGAATCAAACTTGATTGTCCCCACTTTTAACCCTTCCCTGGACCCTTCTTCAGTTCCTCGGAGTCACATTTGAACAAATCAGTCCTTTCTCCAAATCAGTCTGGAACATGAGTGATGGCTGCCAAGGCCTTTCCCACTGGTGGCCTTGGCCTTTGACAAGAGCTTGGAGATGCTGGTTTATGCCATGCTGCCTGTCACTTTTACACACCACGACTTCTCCTTTGAGACCCTCTCCTTCCAATCTGAGGATATTTCTAAAGCGAAGCTGTGTCATCTTTAGAAGCCAATCTCCTGTGGGTCACAACTTTTTTCTCATTTATCTAGTTCATGATAGGCCTGTTCAGACATGAACAGAGAGAGGTGTGAGTAAACTTCCCAGAGAAACCAGTCACTGGGGAACATTTTACTACAAAAGCCTTGCCCTTGCATCAGTACTCCATGGCCTGTGAGCATCTCCCCCATCTCATGTCCAGTCCCCCCTGCACACACTCACCAGTCCAGGAAGAGCAGTGCGGGGAACTTGGGGGGCAGAAACTATTTGATCCAGAGTAAGTGCTACATAACTAGTTAATTGCTATAAACATTGTGTGGGTTTAAAAAAAAGAAAAGATGAAATTTTTAAGCATATGGTATAATTTTTTGAAGTCTGTAAAGTGCCAGGTCAAAGGAAAATCTATTTAATAAAATAGAGGAGAGAACTGAAGCTGGTATATATCAGGCCTGCCTTAATACTTTATAATTCATCTAAGTCCAGCACCGTCTTACCTCCCCAGTCTTGGGGAAAGTCACTTCTCCCCAAATGTAAGAGCAAAGAGTGACCCTGTTTTCTCAGTGACTTAGACATACCTCAGACTCTTCAGAAATGAAGGAAACATGATCACATGCTGAGCAGACAAGGACTATAGGACGCTTCTCGATTGCAGAAGCATAGAAGAGTGTGTGTAGGAACGCAGTGAATTAAAATGCTACAAGCATTAAGTCCGTAGAGGTGATAGAATCATGGGCCTGAAAACAATTTAAGGATACATGGAAACACTCACTGTGTATGTTAAGGGAGAAAAGCCATTTGCACAATTTGATTGTATGATATATTCAAAGAGTGCCAAGAAATGCATACACATTTTAAGAGTACAAGTACTTGGCTCGGCGCCTATAGCTCAACCAGCTAAGGCGCCAGCCAC